TTCTTCTTCTTCTTCTTCTTCTTCTTCTCAGTGCGCACCTGGCAGCGGCGCGCGCCGCGACCACACGGGATAGCGCCCCGGCGTGGTCCAGCGGCCGCCCGCCGGCCTTCGTCATCGCCGCGCACGGCCTTTTCAAGCGCGCGGCCATTTTAGTGCCCGGCCGCGGCCGGACGAGGCCGATCACGGCCGAACTCGGCCGGCCAGKGCCGGACACGGCCGGTACGGCTTCCGGCTGCGCTTGCGGCCGACCAGTCGGGGAGCGCGGGGGCCACGGGCGTGCACGACCTCGGGGGGACGCGGCAATGTCGGCAGCGGGGACGTCGGGGACTACATCGACGGTGCAGCAAGGTCAGACGACATCGACGATCGACGCCACGACTTGTTGGATCCGGGTGGGGGGGCGATGACGGGGGATGCAGGGAGCAGCGGTGCGGGGGGGTCTGGGGGTGGCGAATTCAACCTAGTGTCCGAGAAGGAGATGGCGAAGTTGAGGCGGGGGAACATTGTTTGGAACTTCGTCACCGCGGGGCAGTACGTCGGGGACCAGTCGAAGATGCGTTGCAACTTATGTGGCCACCTGTTTCAGGGGGCGTCGTCGAAGGCCGCGCGCCATTTCACGAAGGCGAAGTTCTGCAAGGCTGGGGGGATGAGAGTTCTCGCGGAACTCTGGAACAGCACGGACTACACATTCGTGTCGTCCACTGCTCAGCGGGTGCAGAGGTGGATGGCAGACGAGGGCATACGGGACACGAGAGCGCCTGCGGGTGGCCAGGGACAGCGGATGGACGACGCAAAGATGGATGAGATTTAGGATGCCCTCGATGAGGAGGACGGCCGCGAGGGTGGGGCCAGGGAGGGGGGGGTGGCAGACGAGGCAGACGAGGGAGTCGGAGAGCCTGACCTGCCAGGGGAGGAGGTGGTGATGACGTCGAGAGGCGTCGGTCGAGCGGGTCCCGCTCCTAGGGCGCCGCGACCTGAGTTGGATTGCGCGAGGAGGGAGAAGAGCGCAGTGGGGGAGGCTGGCGTCGATGTGCGAGACAGGCAGGGAGAAGAGGGCTCGGTAGACCACGATTGACGAGATGTATGCCAAGGAGAAGTTGGCGGAGTTCACAAACGCGTGGCTGCAGTGGATCTACGTGAAGGGGTTTCCATCCAACGCCTTCCATGGTCCGTAGTTCCAGAAGGTGCGCCAGGCGGCGGAGAGAGTGCCTCCCAGTATCCAGTTCCGGTTTCCCTCCTTCAGGGTCACAGCGGGCGCCGGTATCCCTTCGCAGAGGGCGAAGGTGGCGACGATGGTGAGCGAGGTGCGCGCCACTTTTCGCCACATCGGTGCCACCATCCTCTCCGACGGGAGGAAGTCGCGCAGTGGCAAGCCGCTCGTGAACTTTCTCGCCGGGGCGCCAATGGCGCCTTGCTATCCGCCATCGTCGCACGTGACGGGTCAGTCCGAGACTCCGCGGACATCGTGTACTGTAGGTGGCAGACCATCATCTTGTCCTTTCCTGCAAAGGACATGATTGGCTTCTGCACTGACTCCGCTTGTAACTATACGACAGCAGCACACAGACTCGCCACTGACCCCGAGCCCGACATTAGGAGGATCACTTGGCTCCCCTGCTCCACCCATGTCTGCAACTTGATGTTGTCAGTTATCGGGACGCGAGTGGGGTGCATCAAGGACACCATCATCCGCGCTCGAGCGCTTGTGCGATTTATTAAATCGCACGGTGCTGGTCACACCCTGTTTAGGAAGGTGAGCCCTCGCGTTCAGCTCGTCGAGCCCGTTGAGACACGGTTCGCATCGGTTTTCCTGATGTTGATGTGTCTCAAAGGCCGACGAGACGCGTTGGAGAGCATGTTGCACGGCGATGCTTGGGCACGCATCTCGTGGGAGCGCAGGCATGTATCTCAGACGAAGTAGGTGCAGCAGCAGATCCACGACAGGGAATTTTGGCGGTGTGTCTAGTACGCCATCCTTGTCATGTCGCCCGTCCACCAGCTGTTGCGCAGGATGGATAGGGGGGGGGATGATGATGTCCGTCGTTTACGAGTGGAGTCAGCATGTGTTGCAGTTGATGAGGAGGGTGGACGTGCCGGAGGACATGATCGAGCCGTGCGTGTGTGAGGTTGCCATCCGCAACCTCCACATGCTAGAGCCCGCACATGCCGCAGCCCACCTCCTCAACCCTCGTCGACGGTCCCTCATGTATTACCATTCGTTGGAGACGACCGCCGACGACCGCCGTGTGGTCGAGGAGTGCGACAGATTTCTCCTGGCACAGACCGRCGGCGATCTGGTCGGCAGATTGTACAGGACTGTGAGGGACCAGATGAGGGCGTTCCACTCGAGGCGAGGGGATTGGGGAGGTGACCTCTCCGATGCCGAGGCGGACGATTGTAGGGGGGACAGCGAGACCGAGCGATGTGCAGCGTGGTGGTTTGAGCATGAACGTGCCCACCCGGAGTTGCGCACCATCGCCATCCGTGTCATGCACTTGTGGACGTCTGGCTCTCCAGCGGAGAGAAACTTGGCGCAGCACGAGCGCATCAACACAGCGAGGCGGTGCAAGCTTGGGTTTGCCAAGCTTGCATAGCTGGTTGAGATTGCCACCAATCTCAAACTGGCCTCGTGCGCACGGCAGGGTGGTGGCTACGTGTTGCCATGGGTTATGGGGACCGGTCGGGGGGGGACGGCCGCAGAGGACGAGGATGAGGACGGAGATGTGGAGCCTGAGGTGTGGGGAGCGCGACCTGCTGGCAGTGTTCCAGAGGTGGAGATCGAGCGGCAGATTGTCGCTTTCCAGCATAGCCAACCGTCCAGAGCCCATTCGGTTCGGGACGTGTTCGGCATCAGGGCGACGGAGCTGCGATCGTGGCCAGAGGGTGGGGATGATGTGGACGCTGCTGCGGCAGACGACGACATCGACGACGATGACACGCCATTGAGTAGCGACCCGACGGTTGAGTGGGTGTACTTCACTTACGGTGGGGGTCGTGATGACATGGACTCATTCACATCAGTTATCACTGGTGGTGCGCCGTCAACCGCACAGGCGAGTGGCAGCAGCAGAGCCGGTGGTGGTCGTGGAGGACGTTCGGATGCAGAGGTTGGCGTCGACGACTCGGGGGTGCAGCAGCCACGGGGAGGTCTTCGGCAGACAGGCAGGCGTTGGGAGGTTAGGAGCGACAGCGAGGCCGAGGGGGAGGCCGAGGATGAGGAGGTGCCCCTTCGTGATCGTTGCTTTTCTCCCTCCCATCATCCGATCTCTGCACATCCCGAGGCACTTAGGTGTTCGGAGAGGTTGGCGTTGGCAGCAGGCAGAGACGGGACACATGATGACGAGGATCGTGGGGGGGAGAGGACTCCTTCCGATGTTGGTATCCGCCCCCGCTCGCCGTCGGTGCTCCGCACAGACGACTTTGACGTCGTAGGGCTTGGTGGGAGCTTGGGAGATTTCAGTGTCGAGGGACGTCGACGTGCTTCACCGTCGGAGGTGCGCACCGACGCGGACGTTGTGCGGGGCCCTGTTGAGACTGAGGAGGAGAGGGATGCCCGTTTGGACCGAGAGGAGGAGGAGCGGCTGGGGAGTTTGCCACGATGGGAGGGTCGGTTCGCGTATCTTGACGAGCAGCGTCAGCAGAGGGAGATGGAGACAGGAGGGGGGGGAGGCCGTGACATCGACGACTCGGGTGTCCTTGAGGAGGCAGTTCAGGGGGAGTTCGGTGATGAGGGACAGGATGCCGCCGCGGGTGGTGGGTAAGGTGGTGGACGGCGCGGCGACGATGAGACCGCGGGTGATGAGGGGCAGGATGTTGTCGTGGGCGGTGGGTCCCCTAGTGGGGGGCGAGGCGACAGTGAGACCGCGGGTGATGACGGACAGGGTGCCGCCGTGTGTAGCAGAGGAGAGGGTGGACCCGGTGGAGATGGGGATATGGCGGGTGTCGGTGGAGACGATGGACCGGACGGAGATGATGACGACGACCACAGTCCCGAGGACGATGCGTATAGGCTTGCCTTGGTGTTGAGGTACCCCACAATACCTCCCTTGCGCCCTGACGACACAGCGCACACTTTCTATGATGTCGACGCTTTGGCGCAAGCGTTGACGGATGACCCTTTCGCACACGTGAGCCGCAAGAGCGGCAAGAGGCGGGCCCTTGTGAGGGTATATTCACCGCCGCCGTTCGAGGTGCAGAGCCCTCACTGGTCGGGTTCGTTGCTCAGCAGTGTGAGAGGGAAGGAGTCCGGAGCGGCTGAGGTGGGGTCCGGCAGACGCAGCGACGGCGGCAGAGATAGTGCAGGATCAATGCCTCCACCGCCCGCACGGACTCCGGAGGCCAGGGTCGACACAGGGGACCGGACGGCGGCACCCGGAGTTGCGCACAGTGGCGGTTCCCTGCCGACAGTCCGAGGTGGTGTGGGTGGCGGATGGTCAGCTGTTCGTCGGGTCGGGGACCGGTTGCGGGCGGATTACGACGCGGGGAGGGGCGTCTTCACGGGACGTACGCCAGTTCAGACGCAGGCTGCGGAGGGTGGGTCCGGACGTCCGAGCCTGCAGATGGCAGGCCGCATGCTCGGTTGGTCAGGAGCGGAGACGAGGAGAGTATTGGTCATCTAGGCTGCAGGGACATCTAGGACATGCTGCAGGGAGAGCAGTTCACATCGAGCGAGGAGGGGTTGTTGATGCGTCCCGGGACAAGACGACAGCATGGCCTCTAGGAGGTTGAGGCTCGACTCGCGACAGGGGTCGCCGCTGGCCAGCCAGCATTGGACGCGATTCTGAGGGAGAGAGAGATGGGGATTGCTGCACGGGCGGCGGAGGACGAGGACGCAGACACAGAGTCCGAGCCGATCGAGACAGCGGCCCGCAGTCACAGGTCACAGGTGGCCGCTGCAGCCGCTGCAGCACAAGCGGCATACCTCAGCGGGGCACGGGGCACAGGTGCCGGAGGGAGAGGAGGGCGCTGGGGAGGACCGCATGGCCGCCCGTCCTTCGGGAGAGGCCGCGCGCGGTCTGGAGGGAGATGACGATGTCCATGGCTTTTTTTTTTTCCATTAGTTTTTTTTGTTTTTCGTGCGGCTGTACATCCTGGACGCTCTGTCGGCAAGGTTGTTGCATATTTATGTCGATGTTGTTCCATGGAGACGACGACAGTATGTGGACATTAGTTTTTTTTGTTTTTGTTTTTTGCTGCTCGGTTGTACAATAGAGACAACGAGTCCAATTTTTTGCTTCAGCCTTGTATATAGGGTCCAATTTTTTTTTGCTACTCGGTTGTACAGTAGAGACGACGGGTCCAGTTTTTCAGCTTCAGCCTCGTACATACGCATTTCCATTGAAATGCTTTGTCATATATTTACTCTTGTTCGTGTTCCTCTACCAGCATTGGTCTTGCATCTCAGTCGCTGTTGTTTGGTGAGTGGTTTCTGGTTTGTTGTCGTGATTGTTGCAAATTATGTGCTTCTCCGATGCCACGCACCTGCATGTCATGGATGCCTCCATTATGAATGTGCTGTTAATTTCAGATGCGACATAGGGATGATGTGCTAATGAATGTGTTCTTACAAAAATGTCCACTAGTCTGAAGAGTGAACACACACTATGACACACTTGCCTGTTAACATTGTTTGAAACTTATGGTTCGCCGCACTGTGATTGATTTTGAATGTGTTTTGACTTCGGTATGCCAACAAGGGTCTGACTTATGATTGCCATGAATGTGTTGTTTCAAAACATGTCACGAACTGTCATCACCCTCACGAATGAAACTGACGCCTGCCTTTCAGTGTCTGAGGCTCTGATCCGCCTGGGGTCTGCCATCTGCAGCCCCGTCCAGCTTCGACCCGACCTGGCCACACGGGCCGCCCAAAGCAGGACCTCATCCAACCCACATTGCGCCGCCCCCGCAGGGGTGAAGATTTTTTTTTTTTTTTCTAGTGTTCCAGACCCTCTCCCTTGCGACCCCGCATCGAAAAACCCGCACACGGGGGACGCAAGAATTTTTGCGGCCCACCCTTCCAAGGCCATGTGCAGGACCCCGCCGTTTTTCATTTTTTTGACGCCCTGTCACTTTGAGTGGGTGCCCCCCCCCCCCCCCACTCCAAACCCGCTCCCCGCTTCGAAAACCGCCCCCCACATCGGTCGAGGCCGGGGCCGAAAAAACTCGGTCGGACTGGCCGCGGCCGGGGGGGTTCCGGCCAAGGCCGCCGGCCGCAGCCTTGACCGAACCCGACCGCGACCAGCGTGCAACACAGGATCCAGGTAGCGAGTGAGTATGTGTTGCGTGCAAACAAGTTGTCGGGGTATACAGTGTCGGGGAAGAAACTTGTTGGGCGTTATGCGCCATAGCCATTTCTGAATAAGCTGAGTCTGACTGTGTTCCTGACCAAGTTCAAATCTCTCAGTTTTCTGCATGGGCGCCGCTGGGCCAGCCACATCAGTATCTGTTTGCATGCATGTCGATTCGAAGAAGCAAGTCTGATTGCACTCGTATCAGAGCTGGTTCCTGCTGTCCCGCCATCACGATCGCCATCGGCTACGTCAGCTTCGCGATCGCCCATCGTCGTCGTTGTGGAGGATCGAAGTGGTTATCATCATCGTCGTCACCATCGGGCGCTGGGAAGAAGAGAGTCGCGGGCGCCACATCAGCAGGAGGAGGGCGCCACATCATCTAAGTGGAGAGAGAGAGGGGCCCTACCACTATTGCGCGCCAGCCTATGTGCGCCCATGCACCCCTGTTGCCGCCGAGCACCTTTGCTACCGCGCGTTCCCCCTGCCAAGATCGCGCGCTGCTGCCCGTTTCTGTTCGCACGCGCCCTGCTACTAGCTGGGTGCAAGTTTCCCACGCTGCCCCGTTGTCTTCCTCGAGCTGCTCGTTGTCTCACGCACATGCTCCGCTGCTGCGCGCGCGTTCGATAGTCTGCTACGCGTAGTATCGCGCGGTTACTTTGCCTTCCCGCTGCACATCGCCAATGTGCCTCGCTTCGCGCATTGCTGCCTGCGCGCGCTAGCTGTTACGCTGCTTACGCACGCTATTGTTCTCTGTGCGCCCGTTATTTCTCGCACATTCTGGTAATGCTGCGCGCTTGTTATTATTGTGTGCACCCGCTGTTGTTACTCACTGTTGAAGATTGTGCCCACCGCCCGCTGGTTGGAGAAGACCATCGCAGCGGAGAAGGAAACCCGCTGCAGGAGAAAGTTGCTGCGCGCCATAGCTATCTTGGGAGCACACTGCTATAGCCCGTGGGGGGACGAAGACGAGGTTGAGGATTACCTACCTGAAAAGGAAGGCGAATGTCCGTGAGGCCGAAGAAGATGACGAAGAAGAAGAGAGAAAGAGAGAGGTAGAAAGAGAGAGAGAGAGAGAGAGAGAGAGAGAGAGAGAGAGAGAGAGAGAGAGAG